CTCGCTAGGGCCCACAGCAAGGGGCCAGCAGTGCTGTCCACACAGCTACCCGCCCGGGGCACCTGTAGTTTCGTGGACCAAAGCTGATGACTGTCAAAGGCTGGGGTGGGGAGGGCTTGTCTTTCTCTGGGCTGTGTGTTCCCCGCGAGCCCAGAGAACGTTCGAGGGGCGCCGGATAAAGGACGCTGCTGCCCCTGAGCCTCTCCAGACCTCGGCCCCAGGCACCCACGGGCCCGCACCCCGCCTGACCCCTCCTGAGCCAGCCGCCTGTGCAGCCCAGGCCTCCGGGTCCCTCCCACCCGCTCCGGCGTGCCTGGCCCCCGTCAGAGCGCCTGCCAGGCTGTGTCCCCCGGGGTGGGGTGCGGGCCAGACTCCACACCGCGTGGGGAGGTCAGGGTGGGCGTGGAGAATGAGGCCGGGCAGCTTTGCACTTGGGGCCTCGAGGGTGGGATGCCCGGGCACGGAGGGATGTGCGGCGCAGGGGCGGATGTCCGGGTGGCTGGGCCCCCACGCCGTTGGTACTGGAGGCCCCCTGCTAAAGGTCACGGGGAGTGTGACAGGGCCACCCTGTCGCCTGGGGCGCCTCTCCTCCCTCGCGCAGAGGCACTCGGGCTCCCCCTACAGGTTCGCGAGGAGGTGGGTGCGCCCCGTCCCCTTGGGGAACCCGGACAGTCCCACCCCGACGGCGACGTCCTCCACCCAGGACACCCAGTTCTGGGGCGGGGGCGGCTGCGCGGACAAAGGCGAGGAGGGGACATCAGCGCCAGCTCGACCTGCGGGCGAGGACGGCACCGCGGGACAGTCAGAGCCTCGGGATCCGCCCGCAGGTCTACGAGGGGCTCGCGTCGGGGGTCCCGAGCCACACGCAGCCTTGGGCTGCGAAGTCCTCCCAGGTGGGTCCGAATGGGACCCCGACGCCGCATGGCCCCTTTAAGAGATTGTGCCGACCCTCCCGGCCCCGCCCCCCGGCCGCCGCCTCTCTTCGGCACCCGCTGACGTCACCTGCCCCGGGCCGCGGGCGCTGATTGGCTGCGGGTGACGTCAGGGGCTTTTTCTCCCGGGTGACCTCATCCCC